CCCCGAGCCGCGCTTGTCCCTTTCGTCCCGTAGTTCGCTCCCCCCCTCCTCGCCCCACCCCCTCGCCCGCCTCGCTCCACGCCGGATCATCGCGCTCCTTCTGTCTCTCTCTCTTTCTGGCTCCCCCTTACCTTTCTTCCCCCCGCGTAAGTCATTCGTTCTCTTCCTTCTGCACCACCACCCCGCCACCACCACCACCACCACCACCACCATCACCAACGCCGGTCGCCGTCGAGTCAAATCCTATCTGCCATCTTTGTTCCTTCTCCCCGCGCCTACCCGTCCTCTACACTACAGCCTACAGTCCTACTCTCGCTCTCTCTTTCTCTCTCGCTCGCTTCGAGAATGCGTGCGCGCGCACACATGTATTCTCGCTCTTTCCGTCTTTCTGCCTCTTTCTCTCGCTTCAGGGCCGGTTTAGGGGCAGCCAATTACCCGGGGCATCGGTACTTTCTACCGGGAATAAAGACGGACAATCGGATTATTACGAAAATAAAAGTGCTTAACTTCGTGACGTTCCCTCTAATCAAGGAAGTAACGATCAAACAAACGTGCCGGAGCTTGATAGCGCGCATTTAATGAGACTCGCGGGCGGATAAGCGTTTCTCGCGTAAACGATTCGGTAGATTCGGCGGCAGGACGGACGAGGAATAAGGACCCTGCGAGGAATAAGTGGTCCTTTTCCTACAAAATTTTTCGTTAGTCAAACGATTTTTGAAACGTGAGCGGAACGAAACACCCGTGACTGTAATAATGCCGGAACAATTTCTCCTTGCATGGGACGTCGAATTCTTTAGTTCTCGATAAGACAAAGTCGATTTAAAACTGTAAATGTGTCTTGCATCCCACCGAGTGCCACATACATATCTGGGAGATTTATGTTTGTTATTTATGGTTGTTGCGATTTTCCATAAAACCAACGGAAACGGGATTTGTTAAATTTTCGTCCAAGATGCGTGCTTTATACTTAGGTAATACATTTATCAGAACGTGTGTATTACAATGTAAATGCCTAATATAATTGAAAAATAAACGTACACAAGTATAAATTGAAGCGTAATATAAGTATACAAATCGAAGCGTAAAATTGAAGTCATAAAAAATATAAATGACTACTACCGAACGCTTCCTGCCTAGCATATCCGACTATTTCGGTTACCGCCCGGACACCCAAATATCATTTTTCACCGAAATGAATATCTCAGGATACAAAATAATCGGGGACACGACAGCGACGGGTCCGTCGGGGGTGAACAATGTGCTAGCTGCGTGCCTGCGCCGCCGCCATCTTGTTCTCGTGCCGAGGACCGTGTCGTCCGCGACTAGACTACCACTACGGGATACGGGACGGGCGTTGTTATGTCCATGCCTCGTGCGATCGTTGTCGCTCGTCGCTCCTCCGAGTTTCGACCCGAACCGCCGGTCACACGTTCGCTCGCGTCTCGCATGTCGCGCGTTACGCGACGTCGAGCCCGGGCCGGGCGTGCAACGACAGTGTTAACGTCCGTCCGTGTGACCGCGTCGGGATGATGTTGCCCGAGAGAAAGCGACTTCCGTCGCGGCCGTGTCGCGCCGTCCGCGTCCCAAAACGGACGCGAGCGTTTTCGTCATTTTGGGGATGAGCCGGATGAGCGTCTCGCGTGACACGTTTGCCTCTTCCCGACCAATTTTCACGGTCGTGTGTCCTGTGCCGCTTGTGAATTTCTTTCCGCCCGGGCTCGATTACGAACTCGAATTTTCGGGGCTCTCGCGTAAACGGCCCTTTTGCGTTTACTCGGAACAAATTGGGGAGTCAATTCGCGTGGCGTCGGAAATTGAACTCGACAAAATATCACGGCAATTTTATTTCGATTGTAAATAACGGCGGTAAAAGGGTACATTAATATAATGATATAGATATGAGCGAATAACAGAGGGGATATTAATCCTGATGTTTCACGCGACTTCGATGCGCCTTTGAGTATCGAGATTTCCAGGATTCGTAGAGATGCGTTCAACTTCCGATATCGATGCCGGAGAAAACGATTTCCGAGAATAAAGCTGTACCTCGTCCGTTCCGAAAACGTGCAGACGTCGAGCGTTTCGTTATCGGAGGTCGTCGCCGTCGCTTTGTCTCGGCCAATTTGCGGTCGGATGAATTCCCCGTGAATTTCTTTGGCCAATATCGGTCGTATTATTATTCAAATTGCCGTAATTCTCTGCGTATCTCGACGTAGCGGACGTGCGAAAATGACCCTTACTCTCCTCCTCGCTCCGCTTTGCATACCAAATTCTGGCATCGCATCGGCCGCGTTTCGTTATCCCGAACGATGGCCGCAACGAGCGGTATCGTACCAAAAATATAACGAGGCCCACAGTCAGCTTCATATATCCGCTTCGGCCGTTTCTCGACGCGGTATTTGCTTAGCGCGGTATGAGATCTACGTTCTGTATATGGGATCTCGCTGAAGCGTTACGTTTTTCCTTGCATTTTTTCCTTCCAACGTGGAGAGACGCGAACGCGTACGTTTCGCTAACGAATGATGTAGGACGCGATAAGCATGTAATTATAAATAAAATTTAATAAATTGAAAACAAAGGGGCTCTCAGAGCCCCAACCGGATATTCGGGGTCGATGTTATTTAATCGAATTATAATTTGCAAACGTTTCTGTCTTTGAACCATCTTCTAATTTCAACGATAGAAACCTGTGAATAAAGAAATATATGTAAACTCCTAAATACGCATAGCTCGCATGAAGTATTCAACGCAATCATATAAAACGCAAATCATGTAAAAAAAAAATTAAAACTGTAATGACAAAGAATTCACTAATGCCAAAAAGAGTAAGAAAATTCAATATCTAGATTTTACGTTGATATTTCGCCTCAGACATTTACCGTTTAAATTTTCGACACACGCGGCGCTCGAAGCTTTGTTTGCTATATGCATTCAACGTCCGATTAAAATCTTTCTCTTCGCTGTCA